TAGCAAAAAAGTAAAAAAAGAAAAGGCAGTTTATTAAAGAAGAAAATTTTCTATTTCCTGATGAGATCAAAATATTGTATTATTAAAGTGTCAGATGTAGAAAAGAACTGGAACAATGTCTGTGAAATTCAATAATTTTAATTTAAAAATAGACTATATTTGTCACATGAGTAAACAAGGAATTTATCCAATCCTGAACGAAGACACCAAATATGAAATACATACAATATGGCAACTGAAGATCAATAACAGATGGATTGATAAATCATCATGAAAGTAAGATAAGGATGTTAGTCCAAAAGAAGAAATGTCTATCAATAAACTAAAAGGATTTATAGCTTCCCAAAACATCATACCAGGAAAGAAAAAACATTTGTCTGAACTTAATTTTATATTTGAAATATTTCCAGAAACTGCAACAAAACACTATCACCAAATAGACTATTATTTAAATCCAAACTACCTATATATATATATATAAACTGTTGTAGCACAAATAGGATTTATTAAACAAAATTATCAAAATATCCAGTCACTCCAATAATTACATTGTTGCAAAGTTTCAGACTAAAACATGTAAGGATACTAAAGAAATTTTAATGTTTGGTCAGATTTTGGGAAATGGGCCAAGCTGAGAATTTTTCAGCACCCTCTCATGAAACAACATATTCTGATGGTAAAGAAAAAAATGAAATTATAATCATGGTTTTATTTTTATCTTAGTGTTAACTGTCCTTGAAAGTAATCTAGACAGATAATGTAATAGCAATAAGAGGCACAGTGGGTTAATGGATAGCAGCTAGGATTGAGGAATTGGAGAGCCGAGTTCAAGTTCCAGTCGAATACATTACATTCATACATACATGCTAATACCCTTGGGAAAGGTATGAATCCTCTTCTTCTCCACCCAGCTATGGGTAAATAGCAGGACAGACCGTGTTCTATAGCCTTAGATGGCAACTGGTCTACCGCAGAAAGAAATGGCAACCTACTGCAGGAAAAAAAATCTGCCTCGTCAATCATGTATTGAAAGATCCATGATCACCTAAGTGTGTATCACGCATGGCACATAACTGACTGAATAGCAATTTACTAAGCATAGCTTAGATGTGGTACAAGGCCAAAAATATGGAGCACCCAATGATGATGAACTCAATACTGTCATAATTGATATAGTTTGACAAGCTTTGGTAACCATTACATCATGTCAAAGTGCCCAGATAGGTAATGTAATTTAGTAGGTATAGTGTGTATTATATATATATATATATATATGTGTGTGTGTGTGTGTGTGTGTGTGTGCGCACGTGCGGGCGTGTGTGTGTGTGTAATAAAATTAAATATGTTCATTTATCTTGTCCCTATTCTAAGTTTTATGGAATAAGATGCCATAATTACAAAGACTTCTTGCTTCACTAATGTTATCTTCCAGAATTACCCTAGTCGACCAAATTTTATCAAAATACTATCTTTGTTATAGTTTTATATATGTATGTATGTGTGTGTGTGTGTGTGTGTGTGTGTGTGTGTGTGTGTGTATATGTATACATTCTACTTTATACATGTGGGTTATTACATTGTACCAATGTTTTACTACTGGAGGGCTTTGCAAATGAAAAAGAAGGTTCAGTTGTCTAAAATTACTAACAGAATAATTTTATTAAATATGTATATAACAAATGACACCCAAAGTTATTACTCGAGTTTTACACTCTCATCGTCTTCAGATGACCACAAGACATTCTCGTCATCTGAAGACCATGAGAGTGTGAAACTTGAGTAATAATTTAGGCTGTTCTTTGTTAAGTGTTGTGGTTAGGAAATATTTTTGCTCTGTCTGGATAATCTGGGCATTGAGCATTTTGCTTTACTGAGTAGATAAGTGTTTGCCTTTTGCTCTTTCTTTTTTCCTTACTTGTTCGAGATTTTTTCTTCTCTAAGATGTTAGGTCTTTCTGCTAATTGTCTTTTGGTCCCACCACCATAGTTCATTTTCTTTTTGTAGTATATATATATATATATATATATATATATATATATATATATATATATATATATGGTTTAAAAATCAAGAAGTCAATTAAAATACAGGTCAAAACTGTGGTTGCATATTTCAATTGACCTCCTGATTTTTAAACTTAAAAACTATACATGTTATTTTTATTTTTTACTTATTTTTTTTCTCATGTATATTGAGCACTTTTTAATACTACTGTTCCCTGGTCTGATTTAACTCTGACCATTAACCTATATATAATATATAATATATAATTATATATATATATATATATATATATATATATATATATATATATATATATATATATATATATATATATATATATAATGTAAATTGCTGGTAATTTCCTATGAAAATGGACTGAAAATCAGAAAGAAAGAGAATGTCAATGGTCAAGAATTAATGTAATATACTTAAAGAAAAGATTATCACACACACACACATATAAGATTTAAGATTTAGAAACAGCAGATATATCTTATATATAGTGCTCAATATTAAAAATATTAAAATAATATTAAAAATATAGCATTAATGATATTATATGAAAAAATTACTTAACTATTTAAATATCAATTTTATCCTGACATCGATGTTTCTCAGTAAAATTTCTAGTCTTCATGTGTAGCGGTTTTGAACAGTATTTCCAATATATATATATATATATATATATATATATATATATATATATATATATATATATATATATATATATATATATATATATACCCTGTTCAATTTTAATTGTGTGTAATTAAAATTTATCTTTTTAATTGCGTTCCAACTTTCCCTCCTCACTTATTATTGAGTGTGTCTTCATCTGTGTTCCAACTTGCCAACGTATACCTTTGAAAAAGTGTTGGTGAAAGGTACCTAAGGTATAGCATGACGTCTGTTTTGTTTAAATCTGTTTCATTTCTGTGGGTACAAATCACTTTATATATATATATATATATATATATATATATATATATATATATATATATATATATACACACACACACACATAATGTTCTGAAGATTACACTGAAGCATGAAACAAACTGTCGCCATAGTATTGACCTCAGTGTCACTTTTATATATACATTACACTCCATCTGATATTGAACACTTTTACTCATAAATATAGCATACCTTTTAACTAGTTTTATTATATTGTATTTTTTAATCCAACATATTTCTATTACTTCAAACAATATTTTTTTTTTACTGAATATGATCCATTTATTTTTAAAAAAAACAATATTTTGTCTACCAGCCTGCATTCTCTCAAAAAAGTATTGAAGAAAATATTCCCACCAACATTTCCTTTAATAAGTTTTCTTTAGTATGCTGGCTGTTTAGTATAAATGGGTGTCTTCTCAAATATGAATGTCCACTAAAAAATCAAAGTTTGAAATAATATATATATATATATATATATATATATATATATATATATATATATATATATATAATATAAGTAATGCAATGTTAATGTTTTTACTATAGAAATATATTGAAAATCAAGGAAAATATGATTTTTAGTGATTTTCATTGCTTATGACTTACTATAGATATGTATTGAAAATTAGGAAGAAAGGAATTGTCAGAGGTCAGGAATTAATGTAAGTATTACTGATAAAACTGTTATATATAAAAACGTAAATTTGCAGGTAATTATTTACTATAAAAATGGATTAAAAATCAGGAAGAAAGCTAATGTTAATAGTCAACAATTAATATATAATTAATGAAAGAATAAGGTTAAAATATATATATATATATATATATATATATATATATATATATATATATATATATATATATATATATATATATATATATATATATATATATATATATATTATAATAAAAGAAAAATATAATGAGTAAGATATATAATCCGGTGCTCTTATTAATATTTTTATTTTTACAAAACAGTGCTCAATGCAAATCTACAGAACAGAAATATTTTAAATTTACTTATTTCAAAATATGGTTCCATCGCTACACAGGAATTACCATGTGTGTATATATATATATATATATATATATATATATATATATATATATATATATATATATATATATATATATATATATATATATATATATATATATATATATATATATATATATATATATATATATATATATATATATATATATACATATATATATATATATATATATATATATATATATATATATATATATATATATATATATATATATATATATATATATAAAATCTAAATACCTTTATCACAGATGAGCAAAACTAAGTGGTCAGTGGTCAGGAATTAATGCAAACAATACTGATAGAAAGGGCTATTTTATGTATAATAGAAATGCATTACTAACGAATTTACTATAAGAATGCATTGAAAATCAGGAAGAAAGGAATTGCCAGTGGTCAGGAATTAATATAAGCATTACTGATAGAACATTGACAGCTATATATATATATATATATATATATATATATATATATATATATATATATATATATATATATATATATATAATGTAAATTTGCTGGTAATTTCCTATGAAAATGGATTGAAAATCAGAAAGAAAGAGAATGTCAATGGTCAAGAATTAATGTAATATACTTAAAGAAAAAGATTATCACACACACACATATAATTTAAATGCCTTCATTGCAAATCAGTAAAACTGGATAGTCAGTTGTCAGGAATTAATGCAAACAATACTGATATTTTTTATATAATATAAATGCATTGCTAATGGCTTTATTGTAGGAATACTGTACATTTAAAATTAGAAAGAAAAGGATTGTCAGTGGTCAGGAATTAATCCAAACATTACTGATTGAATATGGCTATTATATGTATGATACCTTGTTTAAAAAATCATACAATATACAAAAATACCTGGCAAAGATTTATTTAGCTTTCTCTTTAAAAGAAAATCCTCAACCATTGGTACTACCTTTAAATTCTTCAACGACTTGGCATTATCATAGATCATGAGAAATGTCTTTTTTACTTTTTAAAACCCTCTCTTCTTTAAATATCACTGTTCATGATTTCTCGCAAGTCTCCTGCGGTGATTTCTCGTACAAAGGTATGAAGATGACATTTATTCACCTTCTTCTGTAAACAGCATTCTACAATAAATTAGATTCTTAACAAAAAAAAAATCCCTTGCCATTACTTAGAGCTGACAAAAGCGGCAATTTACAAATGCTTTAATTAGGCTGAATCTAATTCCACTTCATATATTGAATAGATTCACATATATGTCAAAAAGCATTTCCGTATAATCCTATATCTTTTAATTAGTTGATCCAGAAAAAGAAAATGGTTTTAAACTTAATATCTCTTCAATTTGACAGAGCAATTACATTGTATAATCAGCCAGTTAATATCGCTAAGCAATTTATTCATTCTCCATATTTCCCGCCATATAATATACACCCTTTATCTAAAAAATGCACTTCAAAATCACTCTTCACCTTATATAATAAAGATTATGGTTTAGTTTAGGGTAAGCTAACAAGTAAAGGTCACAACACGTATTGACATTCCCAAAAGAAAAAGTTCTAACATATTTGCTCCCTAAAATCAAATAAAATTTAGTCAATTTCACACCATTTATCCATATTTTTACCAAAAGATTTTTGTTCCAAAATTACCCTGCATATTACTTTGGGGAAGACTACCAGATTAAAACGGCTAGTACCTATACATCTCAATTTGGCAGAATGACCCTTAGATGAACTTGGAATGAAACACTATTGTGTACCAGAAAATACAGGATATTTAAAGAAAATCGTTGTACTAATCTACAATTTTAGCATTTCCACATACCTATGTTTTAAAGAGCTTTCTTTTCTTCCTTCACAAAATTACATCATGCTAGTTTCTTAAGACATTAAATTGAATTTCCTTTTTACAGAACTTTCTAATATCATTTACTTGATCATTCAATAGTGAAAAAAAATGGTAAATATTATTATTATCTTTTTGTTAATTCTTTATGAATAGAGCTTTCTAGAAGAATTTGATATATGGTTAAAAAAAGAAGAAAAATCCATAGGTAAAAGTACTTTTCTTATGACAAGGTTTTATAAAATTATATCAATTTTCTAATAGACTTTTATTTTTTTATTTGAATTTAATTTCTCACCTTCAAAAGTCATTATTTTTACTTGTTGATATTTTTCAGTTTAGCTAGTGTTTTGTTTTGTTTTAGTGACTTATTTAGTGATTTTTTTTTCTTCAGTTTCATGGATGAAATTGGTTTAACAAGAAATTTTATTAAAAGTAAAGCTAACTAAATTAATTTGCATTAAGTAAAAAAAATGTCGTTGATTCCATATGGGTAAACGTAAAAGTCTGTAGAAATGTGGATGGGTGAAATTCTAGAGTATTTTGTTTCCCAGATTTTGAAGTCTTTACATTTCTAAAGGCACATACAAGGAAACAGGAAAAAATGTATGGTAGAATTAAAAAAAAAATGACACGCAAGCAAGGGTCAATCAATAGTTATCTAAGCTAAAAACATTGTTCACCGCCCACAAGTAATAAACAAACAAAAAATTTAAACCTTAAATAAATCTGATTTTTGGTATGCTAATTTAGTTTTTAACAGTATCAACAGTGGTACTGACATACACTTGCTTGTTTAAATGAAATGTTCCCTCACTCAAAAAAATCGTTGCATGAAAAGAAAAAAAAAGTTTTCAAATAAATAAAAAAAGAAAGTAAGAAATAAAACTAAACGATTTAAGGCAAAATTTAAATTTAGTCAACAAGATCACATTTGGTTTATTTGTTTTTGAAATTGTTTCAAGATTCTGGCAAAAAAATGTATTCCAGTTCTTGATTAGTTAACTAAGCAAAATGAAAATATTTTTATCATTTAATAAACTAAAAACTAAACAACATTAAAAGTTTAAGTGTTTTATTCATTAGTTGATACTTTTAAGGTGATTAATTAGATGTTAAGTTAAGTAAGTGAAAGAGACAGTTATTTCAATAATATAATAATTCATTGAAACTAAGACATTTGTTAAAGTTTGATAATTTATCAAGTGTATTTCTTAAGTCTGGGTTGCACACATTCAAATTCTTTAAAAACTTTTAAAAACTTAAAAATTACGGACTAATAATGACAATTAAAAGTTCAAACAGTAAAAATTTAAATTTATTTCACTTTTATACAAGTTGTTTAGTTGGATTATTTATAACAATTTACTACAACTTTTATTTTTCTATTAGAGAATAATAAGGTTCTCTAGTAAAGTTATTTAATCAATTTCTTGTACCTTTGCGTTGCCTTTATTGAATAAAAGATCAATTTTTAATTTAATCAGAAATCTGAATTATTTTTAATCAATCAAACAATTTATGACTAGCAATTTTTAACTTTTGATTTTTTTAATATGAAAAAAGAAAAATACTCATAGATGATTTGCTATGTGAAGGCAATTTGTTTTAGGGAAAAAATGAGCATTCATTATTTATTTATTTTTTATTTCATTTTTTTACTAAAGTTGGGACGTTAATAACCAATTGATAATTTTATTTGTTTCAATGTTTTCATTAAACAAATTAAATATTAAATGTGGTTGTCTTTTCTTGTGAGGTTGGCGATGTGATTTTTCAAATCTTTGTCATGTCAAGCAAAGAATCTTAACATATTTATGATAAACATTAGAATCGATGACAGCAGCGGCAACAACAAATCAGATGATGATAGCTTCACAATCAATAGAAGTGAAATCAAGTCACACACTCAATAATACAGCAACTTATTTAATTCATGAATTATTAATATAATTGTATAATCGTTCAGCAAAATGGCTGGGCTATTATTATTAATTACTAACTAGATTTAGTTATCGGAAAGGTCTGTAAACTTGTAAGAAAGGAAGAAATGGTAAAAAAAATGAAGGAAGTAAAACTTGTTATCATTGCCTTTTTGGGGGTATATCCAAACTAAAATCTAAAAATATGTAAAATTAAAATTTAATATAGATTTAAAAGTTATTACATGTGTGTGTTTTAATATGAACATTAAATTTTTAAATGTATTTTTGTGTATATAAACATTAAAATTAAAATATCATAATTTATTTATATGCATTGGCATGCACATACATATATTTATTTGTGTGTATGCATAAAACATGCATGTTTAATTTATATATGCATACACATTTATTAATTATTAAACATACATTTGAACAAATTTAGATACAATCAATAAATAGTCACTTGAAAATTGAAAAGTAAAACTTTGACCATGAAACGAAATCCTAAGTTACTAATAAAAAAATTGTTTAAAAAATGTATTACTCATATTTTAGTAATACTTTAGTTTAAACACATAAAAAAGTGAAAATTATACATATTTTAATAAAATATGTATTTTATTTTTCAGTTTTAGTTAACACTTTATAAAAATCTGTTTGCATTTATTTTAAATTTTAAATGAATGAGTCTTTTCATGTTCAATGTTTTTAAAAAGTACTATCCATATTATTCTTCAAGCAAAAAGCATTTTGGGATTTGACCCCTAAAAAATATAAAAAAATCTTATAATAAAAATATTTCTTACGAGTATATGTTTATGAAGTACCTAACAAATAATTAACAATAACAAAAAAAATCACAAGGAAATGATAAGTGATTAAAAAAAATATATATATTTTCCAATAAAAAATTATTTAAAAAAATTTATTTAAAAATCAAAAAAGTCAATAAAAAAAGGTCACGATAAAAATTCAATGAAAAACAAACTCTTAATTTATCGTACAATTATCTTGAAAAATGTCGAATAATAAATGCAAATTTAAAGAAATAAATGAAAAGTTTAAAAAATGAAAACATGCTGGATGATGAAGACTGTCTTTATAAATGCCGCGTTTTTATTAAAATGGGTGACGAGGTTTGGGAAATACACTGAACAGAAACAAACACGGTCAATCTCCTCTAGTAAACGATTATTATCAATAACATTCTCATTAAAGCATTATGTTGCATTTTAGGGTCATTTTAAGGACTTTCACTTAGGGAAACATTTTACTTATTTAGAATAACACTAGTAAAATGTTCCTAAGACGTTCCAGGAAAAAATCCTTGGAACAGACAGACAAAAATCAAGGGCGGTTTTAAATTTTTAGCAAAAAACCCCTAGAAATTGCATTAGATTAAGAATAGGGTGGAAATTAAATTAAATTAAACAATTTACAATTAATATATTGGGTTTAAAAACAAAAGAAAACAATAAAAAAATAAACAGGTTGAAAAATATATTTTTCATTTTAATTTTATGGGGTGGAAATGAAAGATAGCAGAAATTAATTGTCCAAAAAAACTAAAGACAAAATATTTAGAAACTTAGGTGAATCAAACAAAAAAATAGTTTTATTTTGATAAAAAGACGAGAGTAAAAAAAAATGTTCACCAATTACTTATTGCCTCAACTTTTAAATTCAATAAAATTATTTTTTATGTTTATAACAAACTTTTATTATTGATTTATTTTATTTAAAAGGCCTAAATTGATTTTTTATAAACTCAAATTATAGTACTAAAAACAAATTAGTTTTTACTACACTTCTTTTTTAAATAAAGTCGACTGTGGTGTTGTACACAATGTTGTATTGTACATAAAACAGATCACTTTTTAAAAAAATAAAATAAAATCAATTATGAACATTGTAAAATAAAATAAAAAAACTGAAGACAGGAAAAGGAAATACTATTGAACTTTATATTTCGTTTTATTATTTAGCATAATCAAATCTGTATTTTCCTAAATAAACCCTTTTTCTTTGGGTATGCAAAATTACAGAATTAACAAGAAATTAAACAAAAAACTCTGTTAAAAAAATGATCTTTTTATTTTGAATTATTTCATATGAAGAGCATTATTTACTAAAACTAAAATAAATAAAACGTTTTTCATTTAAAACATTCAAGAGTCAAGACAGTGCCAGAGAAAATTATAACTTAGTTTTAATTTATCATAATTCGAAAATTATAAATAAAAAAGAAAAATTAGAGAACCTTCTAAAAATGCTCATAATAATAATAATAATAATAATAATAATAATAATAATAATAATAATAATAATAAATGATGATAATAATCGGCGAGTTTTAAATAAATGAGAACATCACATTTTGGTTTTATGATTACAAGAAGGAAGCAGTAGTCGGTATTGTTAAGTGGAAAATGATGAAAGCAAAAACAATGATCAGATTTTATTAATATCTAGAAAAACAATAAAAAGAAAAGAAATCCTTTTAAATCTATCCTAATCCACAATAAAAAGAATTAACCATCTCAACGTGTGAATACAACAGCCTTATCAAACAATAAGTCGAAACGGTCTTCCAATCTCCTTCTTCTTCTTCTTCTTCTTCTTCCTTATCTTTCTCTCATTTTGGTTCCTCTTTCCTCTCTACACTAATTTCATTTCTGGAAACAGTAATTCAAATATGGAGTGTTAAAAAATAATAATAATGGCCTAATGAAAAAGCTATTAAATCATCATTATAATTATTTTAGCTCGTCTTAGTCACGATTATTTTCTAATCTCATTTAATTGACAGACAAATAGAAAAGAGGAGAAAGATGAAGGTAGAACCTTAACGATATTATTTGCCAATCGTTTTTCTTTCAAGCATTAAAAACGAAATCGCAACTCAACTATCATCAGTCAATAATTATTTTTTTTCCCTTCAAGTGTCACAATTATGCATAATACACAAGAAAACATTTTACATAAACACCCACCCACCAAAAAAATATAAAAACAAAAGCTCATTTTAGCATCAAATCGTAAATTACTATAAGTAACTTACTAAAAAAAAAGACATTTATTTATTTATATAAACACATTATCCTTCGGCACTTATTCAAATATTCTCAAATTAATGACCTTTTAGTCCCAAAATCTGATTTATTTTTAAAAAATATAGATAAAAAGCAGTGTGAATTTTATAAACAGGAAATACGAATTATTAAACTCGCTTTTATTAAACCGGGTGCTTAATTCTTTGGGTTAAGTGTTTTTAAAAGAAAAAAAAGGGTGAAAAATGAACTTGAAACTTCTACATCACACTTTTTTTGAAGGAGTTAAAAATCAACACAGTATAAAAAGTATAAAAGAAAAGAAAAACATTTCCAACAACGGGATCCGATTCCAACAACAAAACTCAATTTTAATTATTAAACTAACAAATGGTTCAACCCCAGTCTTACAATTAATAACTATCAATAAACGGGTTTAAATAAACTGTACAAAGCACAACAGGAGACTGACAAATCTTAGGGTGTGTCGTCCCGCCATCGATAAGACACTAAAAAGTAACTGTTAATAAATTGTCTTTTTCCCCTTTTTTTTGTCTTCTTTTTTTTTTATTAAATTAAACTAAACTGAAAATTATTAATTAAAAAATATTGAGCTGAAACAATAAGTTCAGGTTAATTCTTTCTTTAAAAAGATAGGTTACTTTATTAAAAAAAAAAAAAAAAGAAAAAAAAAGAAAAGTAAAAAAGGCTAAGTTTTTGACACCCGTAGCGACTGGTCAAAAACTAGTATTTACTTTCATGTTATTGTTAAGTATTTAAAATTGTTAGAAATGAATCATAATAATAATAATAAATAAATAAATCTTATAAAGCATGGTTCGATAGAGAAAGATCAGACATGATGAGCACATTGAGGTGATATCCATTCGAAACACATGCATGTATATAGATTTTATAAACAAAACATGAAAAAAAAAACTCACCATTTATGATTCGCTCTAATTAGTGTCCTTTTTCTGGGCCGCTCACTGGCCAAGATGATTTTATTACTCCCGTGTGGAATATTATATAAACAAGTCCTTTTCTTTTAGTAGAAGGAATAATAACAGTTTTATTAGCAGTAAAAGTAGTAAGCCGCTAATGGCCCCCAAATATCCGTGGTTAAAACATCTGAAATCTTGGAATCCGTTGTTTCTTACACATAAGGAAAGAGAGTCAAGTATAACATTCATATAGACATGGGTTTTATGGTAATTTTAAAAGCAATTAACATCATTAGAATTGATAAATTATAAATGATTACAAACAAACAACAACTATTATTATTATTATTATTATTATTATTGTTATTAATATTATTATTATTATTTATATAATTACTATTGTTTTTGTCGTTGTTGTGATTAACATTTTGCACAGGTGCAAAAAAAAGGAACCTCTTGCACGTGAAGACGAGCACTTGTCCAGGCTGATTTTCACAGTTGAGATTGAACACGTACAACCGGAAAAAAGAGAGAGGGAGAAAAAAAAAGGTAAATAGTGATAGAGAAATAGATAGATGGAAATAGAAAAGGAGAAAAAGAAAGAAATATATGTGTATATTGTACGGATTTTAGAATTAAAATGCGAACTGTTTAACACCGCGGTTGGTCAGAACGAACGCTCCTCGAACGAAGCTACAATAAGCAAGTTTATGGCGGCTTCTGCTTTAGCTAGCCTACACTCTCTCTCTCTATAATGTGATCTTTTTGCTATATACACAACTTCGAAGCAGTGACGGTAGCAACTCTTAATATTACAACCAACATAACGAGGATGATCGTGTACAATGCGTGTGTGTGTGTGTGTGTGTTTTGCTGCGGGTGAGTGTGAGTGCGTATGTGTGAGTATGTGTATGTGAGTGAGTGCGTGCGTGTGTCTATGGCTGATGCTTTGCCTTCTTCCCCACACTCATTTTAATTTCTTTTTCTTTTTCTAACAACTCCGTTCCGTCTTTCTTTTTTTCACCCGTTTCCCGACCCAACCGAACCCTTCTTTCTATTCTCTTTCATTTTCTTTAGCCATTTCCTCCACCCTTTTTCTAGCCCTGCTCACTTTCTTTCTTTCTTTCTTTCTTTCTTTCTTTCTTTCTTTCTTTCTTTCTTTCTTTCTTTCTACAATTTATTTTTCTCTCCATTTTTTCCACCTTCCCTCTTTTCTTCCTTTTCTTTTTTATTCAATTTCTTTCTCTCTCTACATTTTTCCTCCTCCTCTCTTTTCTTTTCTCTTCCCTTTTTTCTCACCTCGTCCTCCTTTCTTATTCTTTTTTTTTACCGCCTTTTCACTTTTCCCACCCTTTCTATTTTCTCCTCTTACCCTTTTTTTGTCACTCCTTTTTCTTTTACTGCAATTCTTTCTCTCTCAATTTTATTCTTTTTCTTTTTTTACTTATACCCGATTTCCTTCTTTTTCACCGTCTCTGTTTCTCGTTCTCACTTCTCTTTCTTTTCATTGACTTCTTTCTTTCTTTCTTTCTTTCTTTCTTTCTTTCTTTCTTTCTTTCTTTCTCGCCGCTTACTGCGCCCTTTCATTCGAACGCTTTGATTTCTTGTTTCTTCTTTCTTTCACATCAAAAACATGTTAATATACACATTTCATTTTCACACACACGCGCACACACAAACACACGTGCATGCGCGTGCGCGCGCACACTCACGCACACACACACACACGCACGCGCACACACACACGCACGCACGCACACACAGGTACGCGCGCCCGTGAGCTTTACTTATTAAACATGTAGTTATAAATACCGCGCATCAGAGTACCGTCGGGTTTGTTCTGCATAATTTGCGCGTATTTCATTTTTTTTTTTTTTTGTGCGTACTTTTTTTTATTAGAATCTAATAAATTAAATTGTACATCTACTTAAAACGAAAGTATACTCTTGTTTTACACATGAATATGTTGAAGATAATTAAAGTTAGACAAATTAAAAGTTTTTTGTTTTATTATTATTCAACTTAAACTTTTGATTCAAGCATATTTATTTAAAACATAATTAACGGGGTTTGTAACAATTGCTCATGTCAAGTATACAAATTATTTAACAAGCAATCATTTATTTCTAAAATTTGAATTTAAATGCTCCCCGGTTCTAACAAAAAATTGTCTCAATGCCTTTAAATGAAATATTAAACTTGCGTCAAAGTCTTTATTGTTTATAAGTTTATTTTGTATGAACAATAATTTTAAAAGTATTGCAAAATAAAATAAAATAAGATAAATAGTGTAGATTAGGATTATTATGTTATTAAATGAGATATGTTTGTCAGTCGTACAGAGTCAGGCACCCAGGCAGACAAGCTTGTGACTTGCTTGAGCTAGCAATTTCTGCTTGCCTGGTAGCCTATCTTTCTCAAGTATTATATTAAACAGTCAGCAAGCTAGACGAGCCTAGAATAAGGACATCATTCTCAACCCGAGCCATACACTAGCACGCACTCAGACGAACGCAGTATGGAGAAAAGGAGAAAGCTAAGCAGGAGAGGTAGTGGTGGTTGGTGCCTCACGTCTAACTAAAATCTTCATACGATTGCAAACCTGCTTACGAGAAAAACGAATCAGATTCTTACTATTTTTTCTCAATCTTTGTCCTTTTCTTCTCTATTTTGGTTTCTAAGATAAAAATATATAGCGGGCAACAAACATATCTCCTCTCTCAAGAAGCTATGTGGTAAGAGCGAAAACCTCGAGATATGGGGAGGATGGGATGGTGGTGGTCTTCAGTGGTAGTGGTGATAGTTGTTGTTGTTAAGAAGAAGAGGGCACGATGCTGGCGGAGAAAAGAATACCGACTACGCTGGGTGACAGATTTCTGTTTGAAAGAAGGAGGGGTAGATGGATTTAAAAGGGGGTGGGGAATCTACTTTGAGCGTGAGAGAGAGAGCAATTGAAAACTTGTATCTCTCTGTATTTGTTTCTGCGTGTCCATTTCCCTCTATGTACAATTCGTTGCCTTGCTTTGATAAAAAGTGTATGGTCTAAGCGAGTTACGCAAAGTTCTGCTATTGTCATGTAACTATGAGCTAAAAAATACAGTGAGCAGAAAAGATTCTTTTATAACTATATTATTGGCTTCATTGGTGCAAACTATTAGTTGTATAGAAATAAATTCCTTTTGAGGGGAAAAGGATTAAAAATTCAACTGCTTTGCCTTTGCGCTTTTTTTTCTCTAAAAATTTATTTTTTTGTAAATATTTGGTTTTTAAATCTCTAAACTATTTAAAAAAATCAGAAGTACGATTATTGCACCAATTGTTCCGTAAATAATTTAAATATAGTAAAACAAAAATGGAACTAAACACAGAAAAAAATTTCTTTAAGGACTTTTTTCTTAAGTTTTTTCATGGAATTTTTTTTTTATGGTTAAATAAAAATTTACGAAAAAATACATGTGTATTTACAATTTCCTCTTGTTGCTTAAGTTAGCTTAAAGCTTGCTTTTTTTAAGGGAAAGTATTTTTTACCAACATTTACTTTTAAAAAATAGCTGACGATAAAAGTTAGAATTAGAAATTATTCACACTGCAAAACAAAATGCCACTGAATAAATAAAATAAAAATTTAAATACAGTACAAAAATACTTTACTCTCTGACAACAACAGCAACACATTTTAAGTTTACATTTTACAACTTTACATTTACAACTTGCACAGAAATAGTGATAATAAATAAATCAATTAATAACTATTTTTAATGACCAATCAGTACGTTGTTTTTCATTGAATAATAAAAACAAGTATTTCCGAATTCTGCAAGGTCATAAAACAAGGATAAGCATCTTGCGTGAATAAACAAGAACTATTTATATGATTTATCTAATTTCAAAAGCGTTTTATACGCGCGCCCGAGCGCGCTCAAACACGCGCACACGCAAAGAGAAAGAGCGAGAGAGAGAGAGAGAGAAATGAAAGAGAGAGAGAGAAAGGAAAGAGAGAGAGGGAGAGAGAGAGCGCGAGGTGGAGAGCAAAGAACGCCGAAAAGTTATCGTTTCAACCCACCGACTTCTCCAAAATCCGGCGAAATAATCAAACAAGAGAATTTTAATTTGGAATCCGTTCTTGGTCAAACTGTGAACTTTTCAGTTGTTATAATTAGTTATTCAACCGTCTTATTTTATTATTGCTTTAATTACAATTTATTTATTGCACGACTGCAATAAAACTTAAACAAGACCTTGTCCGGTGTATTTAGGAAAACTTATTTAGATTAAATTCTTGCTGCCTGTGTATGTGTGTTTTCTAACTACTTCAAACGTTATTCTGTGGATACCAATGTTTGAATAGACGTACTGTATTTTTTTTTCTTCTTTTCTTTTGTTTTGTTTTTTTGTTTGTTTTTTTTTTTGTTTTGTTTTTGGGTTTTGTTTTCTTTTTTTAACAGTGTACTGTAAATTACATCTACCGGCCTGCGCATCCGAGAAACTTAAAGAAAGTGTTTTGAATGCACAGGGCAAAAAATATAATTCACTCTGTTGACAAAAAACAGGGTGTCTACTTAAACATGGATATTCTCAAAATAACTTTTTAGAGTGTTAGGAAATAATGTCGCTTAAAACTCCATTTATTACATACATACATACATACATACGTACCTACGTACGTACGTATGTGTGTGTGCGTGTGCTTCCTAGTACTTATCATGTTTGAGTAGATGCGCAGTTGTCTTTTGTTTTTGTTTTTGTTTTAAACTGTGTGAATTACGTCTACCGGCCTGCGCATTCGAGAGACTAAATAAAGAAAGAGAGTGTATTGAATGAACAGGACGATAAACTTCATTCACTCTATTAACAAAAAAAATAAAATGAAAACCGGGCGTCTACTCAAACATTGGTATCCACAAAATAACGTTAGGAGTTGTAGGAAATAATGTCAATTAAAAATCCATTGATTCCTTACATACATACCTATATGCGCGCGCGTATGTGTGTGTGTGTGACATAGAAAATGTTTATATTCCATTTCCCTGGTTTAAACGCATCACTACTGAGATCGAATATTAGATTGAAATTACTTGTGAACAGAGAATCAGAAAAGCCAAACACAATTATTATTATTAACTAAATTTTGATCTGACATTTTCACCGTACTAAATGTTATTGTTCACGGTAACGCTTCCAGTGCAAGTCTTGTTCTGCCTATTGATTAATAATATTCACCACTGAATTAAGTGCATTGACATGGACAAGAAAGAAGATTATTTTGAACAATAAATATTTACGCTTTTTAAAATTATTGTTAGGTTGCGAACTTGTTGATTCACCAACGTCAGTTTTTAGTTTGTCTCTCTATCATTAATCTTTTTTTGCTTAATTTGTTGGATATTATTATTATTATTATTATTATTATTATTATTATTATTATTATTATTATTATTATTATTTCTGTTGTATAAGCAGCAAAAGTATTTCCTTGAAAAATAGAAGGGCGTCTTATACCCTGAAAGATGCGTAAAATGAAAACGCATTTCTGAATTAGTTAAAAATATTTGCTTTACTAAAAAAGACTTTACTATGGGTCCTTTCTTTCTCTACTTTTAGTATTTTTATTCGGATTATTATCTTTCTACGGAAAGATGGCGATATCAGCGTTTTTATGTCAAGACTCAAGATGAATAATTTTCGTGCCTAACGTTCAATTTACGATCCCATTTAGTCCCGTCATTTAGAATGTTTAATGAATTTCAAGACACATTTACGCTGTCTATAGTAAGTAAATGAATGTAAGTACAGTCACGCGTATAGGATGATGATTGCGTTCATTATCCTGCAAGTGACGAAGGTTTTCTGATAGTAGAGTTTGCTAATGCCTTCAAGCTAAATACATTTGCATTCTCCAGGGTTTATCAATCTCTAGTGTTCTCTCTTTCTCTATGTAACACTGTTGATTATCAAGTTTGTTTTTTGTTTTTTGGGTTTTTTTTTTTTTTTGCTCGCATTATCTGTAAATCTACGACGTGGCTGAGGTATGCTAATATACAAGCATTTATATCCCTTTTCAAAAACTAGTTTTTTGTCATTTTTCTCCGCGCGCGCGCGCGCGTGTGTGTGTGTGTGTGTGTGTGTGCGCGCACGCGCGTTTGACCTCAACTTTACATATTTTGAGGTGTATTACATGACTTTTTTTTATTTATCCATTAATCAGAGGACTTCGAATTCAATACCAGCTCCCAGTTCTATCATTCAATTTTTATTTCCTGATAACAAACAGTACTGTTTCATTTATTCATATTTTATTTATTTTCGAAAAAGTTTTTAAAGAAAATGGAAACAAAAAAAAGACACTTAGATTTAACATCAGAAAGAGACAGTTGAAATTTCTAGGCCATATAATAAGGAAAGAGGACTTGGAAAATTTGACACTCACAGGAGTATGACATATTGAATTGAAGTCAAGAGGGACAGAGGAAAACTATGCATAACCTCCCCTAACGATCTCGTGTAAATGGGTGACAGAATACGGTTTAGGAGAAATAACAAAAAGACAAAAATTACTAAGAGCTACAAAGGACAGAAAATTGTAGCAGCCATGATCGCCAA